CATGTGTGTAATTTATCAGAGGTACAAACCACACAAGTAAAGCTGTTGCTTATTGTGTTTGCAGTCATTTCCTGTCCATTCTTCATTGTTTGCATTTGGAAACTAAATTTCCTTATTATGCTGTTTCCCTTATCTCTGTGATGTCTGTTTGCAACAGAATTAGTTTCCTGTTCCATTTTAGTTTTCTTTTAGTCACCTGTGATTTAATCCCTATATACATGTATTTTTACATACATACAGGGATTAAGTGATAGAAATAATTCTTTGAAGTGTGATAAATATAGACACACGCTTCATAGCGTGATAAATAAACTGCACATGGGCTCTGCACTTCAAGAAAAATGTACATTTCCGCAGCATTCGGTGAAACTTATTTTCCGTGCACTTGGACGGCCTGTAGCTACGACAGATTTTGCTGGTTGATTGGATGCCTTTAGCTCGAGGTCGCTCCCTCCGAGCTCCGCATCCGAGGTCACATGGTCCTCTAGCCAATAATGTCACAGTGGATGACCACCCTCCAGCTGCCTGCCATGTTCACTGGGGCAAGAGAGCAGCCAGTGTCTCCAAAACATCCACCATGTCTAACGCCTCAAACCGCCTGCAACTCAGGCCTTGTAGTTGTGCAGGGGTGAGAATATTCACTGTTGGGGAAAAAAAACAAAAAAGCTTCTGTGCTGCTCAAAGTTTTGCTCAGATTACACGCAAAATCTGATATACTGTTATGTGTAGGTGCTACTATGCCGCGCCCCAATTCTTTATGTCCTCCAAGTCCCCTCTTGCCTGTTTTAGAAATGGGTAGGGTCTCCAACCCTAATGCTGGGGTGTCTGTTTCAAGACAGCTGCTGACAGCTCAACTGAACTTGAGAAGTCTCAAGTCTGACAGTAAGGGATCTTTGTAGTCCGCACCAGCAAGCCGTGGCCTTTCCCGGCTCATGTCAGATCTCGTTGTTGAAGCGGCGGAGGGCGCGTTCCCTCCCCTCGTCTTTCAGCCTGATGGGATGAATTCGCTCATTTGCCTCCTTCTGGTTGTCCAGCATGTTGACTGTAGCATCTCCACATGTCCTGCGGGATTACCACCTGACTGATCTCATGTTAATCTCTTCATCTGTCAGCGCCGAGACCACTTTTGGTTAAAGTTCTGCCGGCCCACGGGCACCGCTCGTCGCCCAACAGCTGGCTTTTCACGGGGGAAGATCAATTCGAGTTCCCTCCAACAATAAACACCAGCAAGATTTACTACGGTGCATGCAGCATGTGGCGCTGATGCTCTCACTTTCTGTGACCTACATGGGGACCTATTGTTGCACTTGAGCACACTGTGTATGTTAGTGAGACTGATTTGACATTTGCCAGAGAATATGTGGAATCATATGCAGGTACGTTTTAAAGTCTGTGTGAATTCACGACACGAACATCAGATGAATATAACACTCCATCACGAGTTAATTATTGTTTATTTTGATCCCATCACCTCAATTCCAGCAAGAACTCCCCTTGTTTTTTTTAAGATATTGCAACATTTGAAAATAAAAATCCAGTGCTCTCTGACAGCAGATCCTTCCCTTAGGCTCCTGTAAAGCAGCATCGTTTCCCTTTTATGTGACAGTTCACGATTTTACCAGCAGGAGGACGGTGTCAGCCCTGCTGCTCAAGGCCCGTCCTAATAGTGATCTGGCTGCCTGCACACTTGTAGATCAGATGCTCTCTGGTGATACCACAAGGCATAAATCAAACTATATCCCAACAGCAGTGTGTTACAAGGCTGAAACCTTATTGTTTTTGCTGTCTGATTCTGATCTTGGTGTTTTGCTGTGTGGACAATCTGAAGTAAACAATGATGCAAAAAGTGAGGAAATTATGGAGCAAAAAAAAGTCAAAGGCTTGGAGTTTTTCTTTTACTCTATAACTCAAACTCAATACACTAACCAATGGTGGATAGCGGCGTTGGCCGGCGCTGCGTCTGTTTTATGAAGTCAAAGCGCTTGCATAGACAGTCATAACTCTGAAGTGCTATAATTTACAGATTGCCTTGTCTTCAGTGTTTTACAGCTCCCCTCCCCTCCCACTTCCCCTCTTAGGTTAAAAGACTCACAGCGTCTATTTTTGGAGAAGCACTAATATTTCCCAGACGATAAATTACCATCTTGAAACCTGTATCACATGTCTTCCTCACCTAATGCATGTTTACTTTTCGAATGATCTGTGCTTTAGGGTTAGATGTCATAACTCCACGTTTCACTGGACGTTTATTGGGTTACCCATGTCGAAAAAAATAAACGGCACCTCCTTAATCTCTGTTAATCTCACACAGGGTGCAGAAGAAAGCTTTAATTGCATTGTCACTTAGTCTAATTGAGGCATTAAGACTTGGGGGGGTGCAGATTAATGAGAGTTTATTGCAAACAACCTCTAAGGAGCCTTGTGACACAGGTGGTTCTGTGCACCTGCCTGTCCGCTCTGGTGGCTCATGGGGGTCAGTGGGTATTCGGGGCCCCAGGGCCAGCTGTTGCCCCCCCCTCCCCATATCTTTTAGCTGTGGCTGTGTGCAGCCATAAACCACTGCTGGTCATGCCTCACCGTCATCACCAATCCACACCTGTTTGGGAGCTAAAAGTGTGAGCATATTACATTAATTGACCAGGAAGGACATTCATTTTCTGTGTGTGTGTGTGCATGGGGCCTTTCTTTTTTTTTTTTTTTGTTATATCATTTTCCAAAATGAAAACGCCCATCATCCATGGATGAAAAGCCACAGACTCAGTAATTGAAAAGGGGGGAGCACTATCCTTAATGAAAATTCAGTACAATAATATCCCTGCAGGGACAGAGTTGTCGTTTTATATCCACTGGTACCTCTCCAAGATTCCTATGGGGAGGAGGAGGAGGAGGAGGAGGAGGAGGAGAGCTCATCATCCGGCGTGATGCGCATATAGAGAATGTTTGATCGATAGAGTCCCCCCTTTTCAAGATTTTTTTTTTTGTAATGTTGCGACGTGCGTCATTGGCGTGCAATAAAGACGCAAAGGCGCAAATTGTTAGCCAACCTCCTTTTTTTTTTTTTTTTTTTTTTCCTCCTTTCCTTCCTAATACATCCAAGCAAGCGGGGACCGGTCGGTTACTTGGAATAAACATCGTCGCCGTGTTACTGCCCTCTGTCCATCTTTATTATTAGCGCTTCGCTCCGCCCTCCTACCTGTAAATCTCCCCGCTCTCCTCTGGAGCGGATCTGACAGGCGCTCTCAGCTGGCCGCTCCGTGCCAGGGCTGCAGGGGACCGAATGGAGACAGCGACATCCACCCGAGCGCCAGTCCTTGCTTCTTTTTTTTCTTTTCTTTTTTTTTTACGCAGAACTGACAACGCCAAACGCCCGCAAGAATATGTAGTCGTCGGCACCGCAGTGACAGCTCGACAACTGTAGAATTAAATCTGTGGGTTTTTTTCCTTCTCTTTGGGTCGCTTTGTTACAAAAAAAATAATAACCTCGTTCACAGTCGATTGACGCGTAAAAGAAAGTGAAATCGATTCTCCGCCTGCTAATCGACAAGGATCCCTGAATGGAAGACGGCTAGAGACAGAGACAGAGAGAGAGGGTCGCCTCACCGAACACAGGCTGCAACAATTCTTTATTTTTGTTTGTTTGTTGTTGTTTTTTTTCCTCCTCACACTGTCGTTTACAACAACTGAAATCTCGCTGGGCAGCCTTCGACGGCCGCGCACGACGCCGTCTCCAACCATGGCATATGGCGTGAGAGAGCCAGAAAACCCCCTCAGAACGAGAAGCGCCTAAAGATTCGTCATTATTGCGGATTTAAATGCCTCTCTCCAAGGGCCACCGACCCGCTGCTTCGGTCAGGTTCGCGTGTGCGCCGTCTCACGCTGTCAAACAATTCATAGGCTTCTGAAAAAAGACTCCCATCGGGTGGGTGAACACTAATCTAAAAAAAAAAAAAAAGAAAGAAGAAGAAGAAGGGGGGGATCTTTTTTTTTTTTTTTCCTTTCTTTCTTTTTTTTTCCCTTCTTCTATCTCTGTGTGTGTCTTTTTTTCTTTCCCAAGCAATATGGCTGGTGAGTGGGGCTGGGGACGCTGGCACAGGCTCTCCAAGGCTCCTAAATGCTAGCTGAGGCAGATGGCACGGTTCCCCATGGAAGCGACAGCTCTATGAGGACAAGCAATATCAATAATAATATAAATCCGGACTCTTCAATCGTAATATCCAAGATGGAAGACGTTGTCATCCCGTTCTCGTCCGAGGTGCCATGCGACAATAATGGACAGCGCATGTGGTGGGCATTCCTCGCCTCCTCCATGGTGACGTTTTTTGGGGGTCTCTTCATCATCCTGCTGTGGAGGACCCTCAAATATCTGTGGACTGTTTGCTGCCACTGCAACATTAAAAACAAGGTATGGCTTTAAGTCTGTCAATCCCCCCCCACCACCACACACACACACACACTCCTCTCCCCTCATACATATTCACTGATGCTGCAGATATTCCTGTGTTTTCTTTTCCTGTGGCCTTCTTGGTGCAAGTGACAGGGCCACTAAGGTGAATATCCACTAAAAGAAAAAAATATCAAGCACACATTGCAGTGCCAGTGCAATGAATGCATCATGATTGTTATTGTCCTTTGGCTGTTTACTACCTCCCACTCTTGAATGAAGGGGGTGATGCTGCATGACAGATATGGGTGGGATGAGAGGAGAGAGCAGTTTACTTGGTTTTTTTTTATTTGGCTTCAGCATCCACCGAATAGCTGCTAACTTCCTGGATGGAAGGGAATATTTCACATGGCCACTTTTATGTAACCAAACTGATTCTTTTTGCACATTCCACCATGTGAGACCTAATGAAGTCCGCCGGGACTCCTCATGCAATGACATCAAATCCGTCCCCTCCTCTCCTCTTCTGTCATAGCCTTCTTTTCACAGCTTTTTTTTCCTCCCCCTCCTCCTAAATGTTTACACTTGGCGGTGGCTGCGATGTTTGTGCTGCACATTAAGTGTCTTTGTGGAGTGATGAAGGTAACCTGTCTGCAGGACAAATATAGAAATAGGATAATAAGGGTGACTGCCCATCACATTGCCTGGGGTGGATGAATCATGGCTGATTCATATTTGTATTAAACCCTGCTACATACATGACTCACGCACTTGTGTATAAAGCAAGCGGTCCCCCCCCTGGTTCGAACACAGGGGCAGTCGGATGTTGCACAGAGTGTGGCTTTATTTCATAACGCTGGCTTGTAATGAGAAAAATATGTTGGTATTTAATACAGGAAAACAGCAGGACGGCAGGTAATGGAAAGTGCAGTGACAGTGCCAATTTGTGTTGAGCGGTAAATACAAAGGGGTCAGGAAGAGGATGTAGTGACAACCACGGGCAGAAGATAGAGAAAGAGTGAGAGTGATATTCTTCATCCTTGATATGTTTGGGTTGCATCCAATTTAAATGGATGAGTCGTGTCCCTCCCGCTGCTCCTCTGTCGTGTCCTTTTAGTGGCCTTGACCCTTTTCTGCTGATTTCTGTTTGGTATTATGACAGGTGGTACAGAGATCAGCCTTAACTGATGATAACAAGAGAAAATAACCTTCATGGTGACTGCTGGAAGATGGAATACTCTTGTTTTGGTGCATCTCCATCTTGTGTTTTTAGTCTCATTGGTTAAGTTGGATGCAACCTCAAAAAGACTCACATGCTGCTGGATAGTAGTTCCTAATGATTAGTTTTCAGCAGAATAGGGATCATATGATCACATCACAGAGGATTTAAACAACTATTGAACATATGATTCTAAAAAAAACCTATAGAATGAGTCAAATGTAATTAGCTGATTTTGTTAAACATTTTCTTCTCAACTTCATATCGATTATCTTAAATGCAATTTTGGATATAAATGAGCATCTGAAAGTGATGCGTACTTTAATATCTCTCAGCCCCACACTCTCATATATGCACAATAATCCAACAATTAAGCTGTGTTGGATTTAGGTTTTGGACAGGACATTAGTCACACTACGCTGACCACCTCAAATTAAGGCTTTCTTCATTACTTTGAATCGCCCTCTCGGGCTATTTGGCCACGCTGAAAAACATAAGCAGACATTTACGTAAGATTAGAGTCAAAATACAATCGGGACCTCTGAAAAGTATGCTTGGGAAAAAAAAAAAGCAGTCTCATCTGAGCAGCTCTTATTTACGCTGAGAGATGATTCTGCCCAGTATGCTATTTGGGCCATTACTTGGCTGTCAGCCTCCTGTCATTTTGTTATGCCCATGGATCCTAGTATCAGACATGGCATCAAACCATATGTCATCCTTCATACTTCTCACCATCTTCCTGTGAAAAATCATGCAAATAAGCCATGCAAATATAATTAGGTATCCATCTTGTGACTGCTGGTGGGTATCTGGTTGCATCTCAACTTCTGCAAACGTGGAGAAACGGTGAAAAACGGAGGAGGCGCGTGTCTGTCGCTGTGTTGCCGTATGTGGACGGCGGAGTCATCCCCGTTAGGTGACTTTGGTAGGCTTGACACTTGGCTGCAAAGGGAAAAGGCTTGTTAGGAGTATTAAGAAGGGGAAACTGGATCTGTGTTCAGCTGACTAGTGCAGCCGGCTAAGTTGGCATGTGTCAGAAACAGGATGCATAGTTGGCTCGGGGGGCCGGTGGTCGGCTTTCTGTGGCAGTACTGGGAACCTGGAATCAGAGGCAAGGAAATAGAGGTGGAAACTCTGAGAGGGACCCAAGAGGAAGTGGAAACAGGGGGGTGTGAGGGTGACGAAGGGTTTAAGAGGAGGGGGGTGTTGCATTGCTTATGTAGTGTCCTCCTGTGCTCTGCCATTGACACGCAGCTGCATCCTAATTCTCTTAAATGACTCTCTTCGCTGTCAGGATTATAAATGAGATGTCAGGGGGTCGAAGGAAGAAGGAACAAGAGATAAGACGATGGTGAAAATGAACATTTGCTGTGCATTTTTTGGGGATCTTTAGAACCAGAACTCTGCCTTTGAAACATGGCGTGTCGGCCTGTACTGTATTGTTCTTATTACTGGAAAGCCAATAAATGCACCTAGGGGTTGGAGGAACCGGTCAGAAGCTGTAGAAACCAGGGATAATCACATTTTTACTCTTGTCTCTCTAAGATGAGACAAAACAGTTGTACTGGAGACCAGGAAAAATAATTTATAGGTCTGGTGCTGTCCTGTGGGTGCCCTAAAAAGCAATATAAAACGATAAAAAAAAACCCTACTCGTATTGATTTCTCTAAGATTGTGCTAGCTATGGCCACATTTATGGCGTCATTTATCTTCCAGGTGTTTCCAAACTGCTCAAATGCCATTTTTAAACCACATATCAACTGCGTTTGTAGTTGCCCTGCAAAGACCAGTTCTGGTTTAGCCACATTACTTCATTCTCTTTTTTACAGAGAAGCTCGAGACATTCTAAATAAGGGGTTTCCTACTAAGGGAAAGACTCACTCAAGACAATCATAATGCATATGCATGAGTGAGAGAAATGTAAGCACAGCTACTCGGTGGTACTGAAGTGGAGGAAACCACCGCCATGCTGCAAGGCTTGTTAGCGCATAAGCCTGCTCTATTTTTCCCCTCCTGTAAGGTCTCATAGGCTCGCGGAATATGTCGAGTTTTGTGCCGTTTTCCGTGCTGCCGCTTCACTGCTGTATGGTTATCTAATGGTCTAGTTATCTACTCTGCATCATGCCACCTCCAGGAGTTCTTATATGACGCCTCTGTTATTTGGGATGCGTGGGGAGGAGGAGTATAGAGGCTGGCACCGATCTCTATTCAAACATGAATGGCACCATCGTCCTCTGGAGAAATATGGCTCTGTGAAAACACGGCTTTGCTGAAAAAATGAGAAATAACTGATTTGGTCTCGTTGTAGGGCTGGGAAACACATGGAGTTATTCATCACGTAATGAAGTCACGTTGCTGGTAACAATAAATTTAATCAGAAGAGTGACCAAACAACAACAGTGCAGCCGGTCATTATACTGGAAGGACAAAGATAAGATAAAAAAAGGAAATACATGCACCAAAGTATAAGAAAACAACTCATAGTTTACCTTGATGATTTTTTTTTTTTGTTCTTTGCCCACGTCTAGTTTGTTGTTGTGTTGTTTGTTATATAAGTTAAAGGTGTGACAATGTGGAATTTTAGGTTCCTGTTACATAAAAAGATATGAATTCATACAAGGCAACGAAATATGAGACGAGCTCAGAGAACTGATATTAAACACAAATATCAAACATGCTGTGGTTAAAGATGATCAATGTGAGGATTTTCTGAACAGAATATCTTCTGGTTTTGGACTGTTGGTCAGAAAAAAAAGAAGTGATTTGCAATTTAAATGTAATGTTAATTTCAGAAGTGAATCAGAAGACTAATGAAAATACTCTGGTGTTGCTTCACTATTTATTGCTTGTGTTAATTAGGCAGCAGGTCTGTGTGGCAGATCTCACGTATCTTTGACAAAATAATTTATTCCCAGTGACAAACATGTGCAGAAATCCTCCATGTTTCCTTTTAAACGCGTCATTATTCACTCGCGGCCGCTGCTGCCAGTAGCTGATGGCCTCCACTATGGCTGCTGCAGTTTGTGTGAGACTCTACAGGTGTTTAGAAGACAGCTTGATCCCGAGGTGTAAAAACGTCTGCAGCTCTACATCAGGAAGAGGACACGCTGGTAGCGGACATGTGATGGAGCGACCGACTCCAAAGGAGTTCGGAAGGGAGACGGTTCGGTCGTAAAATCAGCTCTTGTTACCTGACAATACGCAGCTTCTGCAAGTCAGGATTGTCATGTATTTCCAACTACACGTTGTATCACTGTGTTTTGGTGAGATATATACCAATTCAGGGCTAAAAAAATACACCTCCCACCTCACCTCAGTACAACAGCTGATGCATCTACAGCACTGAGCACCTTCAGCCTCCCCCTCATCCCCCTAAGGTGCAACATGCAGTGTTTTATGTGCACTTTAGAGCCAACAGACATCAGGATTGTACAATTGTTTCTGTCCAAACAGCTCAACAAGAGGAGTGTTGGAGCAGTGTGCCTCTACTATGTGCTCCGCTTTTCCCTGTGTCGACGATCTAATCTGGATCTGATTTGTTTGTGTTCGTTTTTTCTCTGGATGTAGATCCATCTGTTTTAATCATGACAGCCGGCAATCCACATCATTGTTCAGATATTAAATTACGCATTCAAATATGGATGTATTACATTTGCACTTTGACTGTGCGAGAGAGGATGAGCAGTTTTCTTTTGAAGACACCGAGACAGTTTCCTCTTCGTTTGTATTGCCCTCTGTATACGCTCTCCACGTCTTTCTCTGCATACAAATCTTACTCTACTGCATGTGTTGTTTATTCTAT